TAGAGCTCTTAGAAAAGTTGTTAGTGAACTTGTTTGGTTGTCCAGGCTGCTTGAAGAACTTACTGTGTCAGTTAATTTGCCAATACCTATGCACTGTGATAGTCTTTCTGCTCTACACATTGCTAGAAACCCTGTGTTCCATGAAAGGACTAAGCATATTAAGGTCGATTGCCACTTTGTGTGTACCAAACTTCAGGAGGGGCTCATTTCGCTACATCACATTGGTACAGGCCAGCAACTTGCAGATGTACTCACTAAGGCTCTCACTGGGATCAAACACTGCTCTGTACTTGGCAAGTTGGGTGTGATTTCCTCGCATCCAACTTGGGGGGGGGGGGGGGGGTATTAAGACCATAGTATTGAATTAGTAGTGTATATTATATTTATACTTGTAATAGTGTCGAGTCAGCGCCTTTAGCTAGTGATTAGCATTGCAATAGGTTAGTTGTATATATATATTGAACAGTGTTGGACATATTAGAAAAATTAATGATCATATTTTCAGTTTAACCGACTTTAACAGCTCTTCTTCTTCTCTCTCTTTGAGAAGCTTCTGTGTCCTCCATTGGAGGTGATTCAGAGCGTTCCACACTCGTAATATTGACAATAGTCCTAAAACGGGGGAAACTCTGTTTGATTTTCTGTTAAATACCGATGAGGCTTACTTAGGAGCACTTGCTCCTAAGTGTCGGATGATCCTAAATTGGGTCGTGACACTTTTCATGGGGATAAAATAAACATTACTATCCCGGGATAACTAATCCCGAAATTAAATTTTCTACCAACTAAATATATGATAAACTCTTCTTAAATTTAGTCCCATGACTAATTATTCCGTATCACTCGTGCCAAACGAGCCCTACATTAATATATATAGTGAAACGTAAGCTTAACGACTTCAAGAACGAAGCTTAATATTTGCTGTTCTAAATTACCATAAAAGATGCACAGATTTTGAGGGACTGAAATTCGAAAGCCTAAATGGCGTTGGTGATAACGGTGCATTTATTGTGGATCAATCGACGAGTAAGCCAAATTATTACTATATTATATATCACCATGACGATTTCTGATTATTAAATTGGAACTAATTAGCACTTAGCAACATGATTTCAAGTCAAGGGGCATCATGAAATGTACTTAACTAGTTAATTAATCTCGTAATGCCCTTTAAGCAACAAACACATACGCCTTTTAAGCAACTAATGTCATCAACTAATTAGTTAATTACGAGTATTCATATGTCAATATTGCAATTAATGACTCTAATGGTCCATATTGTGTTTGACTCTCACATGTGCAATTATTAACTATATATAAATCACTTAGTTTTACTAATATACTTCTTTCCACTAGCTCTACACTTGCTTACTGTTCAGTCTTTTCCATGATTCTTGTGATTTTGGAAAATAATGAACAAATAGAAAGACAATAGACGTGGCAAAAAAATGCTTACCGGCATGCCCTTAAAGCTATTTACAGCAATAACACATTCAGTGTGATCATATAAATTTTGAAAAAAAAATAATATTTGACAGTTCAATTTGCAAAGTATCTCGCATTCATGCAGGATCTGAAAAAGACAGATTGACAAAAATAAAATGAAGAGGGATTTTGGAATCTTGTACGGGGGAAAGTATTTCAAGTAACAAAAAACAAAAAAAATTACGAATAAATTAGTAAAATACTTGGTCAAATTAAAAGTACCTATAATTTGAAAAGTCATAAATTGGGGGTGACCAACTTATGCTTTTTGGCTGACTTTGGCTTATAAGTATATTTGATGTTTACCAAACGCGTAAATAAATCAAAAAATTGACCAGCTCGTAACCTTAACCAAATACCATCTAAAATGATTATTTATTTTGTAGGAACTTTTTTAGTCTTATGTTCTGTTCCAAAAATTCTCTTTCTTCTCTAAATTATGCACTTGAAAACAAAAACAAAAACAAAAACAATTTCTTACTTTCCTCAAAATATCCTTTTCAATATTTGAAGCCTTCATATTTTGTGTTTTTTAATATGTTTTTCCAACCCTTGGGCTTAAAATAAATAAATCAAAAGGGACAAAAGACAAGAAAAGAAAAATTAAATAGATGCGTGAAGCTCGTGACTCTACATTAATAAATATATGGTGAAACGTAAGTTTAAAGACTTCTAAAATCAATCTAATATTTGCTGTTCTAAATTACCATAGAAAATACGCAATGGAGTTTGAGGGAATAATATAAAGGCATGTGAACCAAATGAAAACATACTATTTGAACTACAAGTAAGCCCAAATTATAATTATATCACCATGACGATTTCTGGTTATTAAATTGGAATTAATTAGCACTTAGCAACATTATTTCAAGTCAAGGGGCATCATGTAATTAGTTAATTAGAAGGAGTATTAATGGAACACCCTCTAAGCAACAAAGTTTGAAGATGTCATTTCTAGAAAAATCCTTTTTTATTTATTTGAGGAATTCGTTTATTCGGTAAAAGTAGCACGAGTTAGTTAGTTTTCGGACTGGTAATTGAAAAATAGCCAGCATTTGCGAAGTCATTGAAAAATAACCACTGTTGCGCTGAAACATGAAAAATTCCAGCATAATATGCAGGATTATGGAGAACCTGCGTGTAAACTTCCAGCATATTATGTTGAACTCCCGCATACGAAAAGTTCTAGTATAATATACGTGATTATGGAGCTCCCGTATTATAATGGAACTCCAACACATTATAAAATTCCAGCATATTATGCTGAAAACTCATATGTGAAAAAATTCAAACTCTAGCATATTATGCTAGAATATTTCCGAATTTTTAAGAGTGTTTTTCTTTATATTTTATCTTTACATGAAAAGTGGCTAAATTTCGATTATTTACTGTGGCTAGTTTTGTACCAGTTATAAATATGGCTATTTCTGATTAATTACCCCCCCCCCCCCCCCCTCCCCGATATTCGTGTGTTAATACTGCAATTAATGACTCTCATAGTCAATATTGTGTTTGATTGTCCCATACCAGATCATCAACTATACATCACTTGTAAACCATGGGTTCTAGCCGAGGAAGTATCCACTAATATTTGCATTAGGATACGCTGTTTACATCATATCCTTTGGGGTGTGGCCCTACCACGCACGTGTTAATACGGGATACTTTCTGCACTTAATTGTCCTTTTTAACTCTACATCTCTTATTTTACTAAACAATAAACTCCCTTCCACTAGCTCTACACATGCATACACAAGTGCTTCTTCTTCAAAACAAAAATAAAAAAATGGTTGTTCGAATTGCTTCCCAAAATAGTAACACAAAATTAATTGTGGGTATCATAAAAGAGTTTCAAAAGATATTTACTCTCATCCAAAATGGAAGTGAAGGTACATACTAATGGTAGCAATTTTATCATATGTCACTTAAACGTATGAGTCTAAACTTACTCAAACTCGTTACCCTATTTCTCCTTATGTATATTCATGTGTTACCCTCATCTAATTAAAAAAAAAAAAGACAAAATATCAAGAAAATAATAATTTTAACTGAAAATCATTTACACCTGCCTCAAGATTAGGAAAATAAACATTGTAACTTAGTAGAGTATAAACACATCAATCTCCAATTGTTCCAACATCAAATGAGTCGTCCCAAATAAGATAAGGAACAACGAACAGTACATGTGATGCAGCACGTTATACAAGTTGTTATCAAAGGACAAAGCAGTTATTATCCCTTTTGCCATTAAAAAAAATTTTAACAAAAAAAGAGAGAGAGAAAAAACCTTCTATTAGGGTTACAACAACAACATATCCGTGTGTTCCCACGTGTGAAATCTGAGGAGGGTATTAGGGGTGTACGCAGACCTTATACCTACTTTGTGTGAGGTAGAGGGGTTATTTTCGATAGACCCTCGGTTCAAGAAAAGAATTTTTTAAACGTGTTTAAAAATACAAGAGTAAAAAAGCTTAGACCATTTAGACCTTCGGTTCAAGAAAAGAATTTTTTAAACATGTTTAAAAATACAAGAGTAAAAAAGCTACGATAAAAATACTAGAAAAAAAAAAGAAGAAAAGAAAGATATTGCTAGCAAAAATAGTAAAGAGAACCAAAGTAAAAGAAATAACACTAGTAATAAAACTAAAGAATAAGATAATACTAGAATACTACGAGTAATAATAATTTTGATAAATAGAAGAGGGAGAATATAAACCAAGTCTTTTAATTCTTGTTTTCTTGGGATTAGCCTTGGCCACACGACTAAGCATACCTACTAATACTATTTAGTTTAATCTTTGTCATATTTGACCAAACATTAAGATATTCTATTTCAGATTCTATGATTTAATCAAATCTCTAACTTCAACAACAAGATCCTTATTGGATTCCTCTTTGAATATTTCATCTATAGAATTTTAGATGGTGATTTCATGTTTAAACAAAGCCTTCTTAGCTCAGTGGTAGAGCGCGTGGCTTTTAACCACGTGGTCGTGGGTTCGATCCCCACAGACGGCGATCTCGTTTTCCTCCACATGCGGTATATCTATTTTGTGCACCGGGCTGCACTGCCGCCAATGTAAGCATACTTGCACATTAGGAGTTGGTGATGAGATGTTTGAATGAACATAAAATTTGATTATATCACGTTGACTTATATACTAGACTAACAATAGTTTTAAAAAAAATAGTAGTTAAATACTCTGCATCAGTTAAAGAGTAAGTTTGATAATAAAAGAATTCAAGTTAAAATTTTATGTGTTCTACGCTATTGAAAGCTAGATCCACATGAGGTGTGTAATGCATAGCCAAAAAAAACATCAGTTACTATCTGAATGATTAAACAAATACCCGCTACGAACCAAACTCCCACCGATAATTATGATTGTTCGGGGGTTGAATAATCTGTCAAATGCTACAGTTTAAATAATTTGAACTTTCTTGTGAGAGTGGTACAGAATAATAAATCGAATATATTAAACACTTTGAAACATTCTGAAATAGACAGACTGCTATAATCAGTACAAAGAAATTACATTATTCTCATTACATTGGTACTTGGAATTTATTTAGGATTTTTCTGCTTCTTTGAGTACAGAAATCTTTTTGATTTTGTCAAGGAAGAAGAGCAGCCTGGTGCAGTAAACTGTTACTATTGTGGAATCTGAAAAAGGGTCGGACCACATTAAGTCTATTGTACAGTAAAATTAATAGAAGAATCACAAACTTCATTCCAAAACAATTGAAGTGACCACTATAACATCGCGAAATACTAATGGTATTGGTGTAGGGACTGTTGGCGTTAGCGCTAGCTAACCCTCGAACAGAACCATTAACATACACATGAATATTAACCAAATAATGCTGGTGTTAGCGCTAGTTAACACCCAGACACAAACCATAGAAATAGTTCTGGTGTTAGCGCTAGCTAACACTCAGATACAACTATAGAGCAAGCACAAGATTTTACGACCCAAAAGAAAAAATGAAAATAGAGGTGGTATTGGCCGGCGTTAGCGCTAGCTAACTCACGGACATTATAATAAAATGACTTCTTGAAATGGTTGGTTCAATAATGTATTGGCCACCATCCCTTCTGTTGTTGTTGCTGCTGCTCTTTACATGTATGTTTTTATAGTCTTTACTGAACTGTGCCATTCTTGTTCACCAATAATTTGCTAGTTGAAATACACAAATTATTGACTGCTGCAGAAATCCAAGAACCCCATGAACTCATGGTTATGTATCATACTGATGCTCTTCTCTATCCCGATCACCCCTGTAACCATAGCATAAATCGAGAAAACAAAATCAATCATTTTCTTGCTTCTTCATTTTATGTCGAGACTCGGGACATAATTAGTATGATAGATATTAAACGTATGCTCTCTGTAACAGCTTAAGTTTTTAAATATGATGGTCACAATTCAATATTTTATGGCGATATTAAAAAAAAAGGACAGCCCGGGTGCACCAAATTTCCCGCATTCACGCAGGGTCCGGTGGATGGCCGCACCCTGAGAGGGTGTACTGTAGGCAGCCTACCCTCACACAAGCATCAATGGCTGATTCCACGGTTCGAACTCGTGACCTATAATCGAACTCGTGACCTATAGGTCACACGGAGACAACTTTAGCGCTGCTCCAAGGCTCCAAGACAACTTTACAATATTTTATTTTACGGCGATATGAAATTCAAGAATTGTTTATTGACTTACCCATTGTGAGAGCGCTGGCGAAAATGACACCAGAAAGTATGAATACAATGAGTGATGCTCTCTTTAAAATTGCGATAAGTTTTCTAATGAAGCATTGTCCCCAAAAGCCAGCAACAATAGATACACTCATTAGGTATAGAGCTGCAATATGAGTTAAGTTAGTCCTGTAGATAATATTGCAAATAAAGCACAAGATTTATGTGAAAAATTTAAGAAACTTGTTGAGACTAAGAATATACCATAAGGCATTGGGAATCTCTTGAGGAGATAAAACTCCACAACTGATAAAGATGAGGAAAACATCATCACAAATGTTGCTGTTGCACTAGCTACCTGTAGAAGTAACAAACAATGTCCTTTTTTGTTAATTTCCCAATTGATTGAAACAGCCATCTTTACCATAGCATTTGTTATTTCGAGTCGAGTTGAGTTTAAGTTCTATGCAGTTACAGATAATACTTTATAATTAGTATTACTTGATAACCTGTAAAAAATACTAGTAAATTACCTGTTACGACAATTTATACTACATTAATAGTGTAAAAAATCTTTATACTGTCAGTATATGTAACTTAAATTCTTTTTGAAAATGGACGCTTTAGCGATACTAGAGTTGTTGGAAAGTTACAAGTTGTCGTAACAGGTAATTTACTAGGATATGTAACTTAAATTCTAGTTGAAAATGGACGCTATAGCGATACTAGAGTTGTCGGAATGTTACAAGGCCCCCTACCAATCCCTCTCTACCTTTTATTATTTGTATCCCACTAGGGCCACATACTAAATGTACTTAAATAATGGTAAAGTTTAGAAGAAGTGACTAATTTTTTCAAAAGGAGACATAAGTGAGAGTAAAGGCTTTCCAACAAGAGGTACTTAAAAAGTAAGAGTAAAGGCTTTCCAACAAGAGGTACATATTGTTTTAGAATCTTAGTGATTGACATACATCATGTGCAATAATTAACCAAGTATGTTCATATCTAGAGTTGACTTCTTGCAAAAACTCTGGCACTCAACCATATTCTATTACACAAAATGTGTAGAATGTACATCCTAACTCAACAACTACTACTACTACGACACAATGCCAAGTAAGCTGAAGTCGGCTATATGAATCTTTACTGTCCAAAATCGGATATCATAATCAAGAAATTAATAACTGAGGTAACGACAATGGCCGTACCTGAGGGATAACTCCAATCTCAAGAAGAAGAGGGCCAAGAATGAATCCACCACCAGATCCAAGCAATCCTCCAACAGTGCCTCCCAATATGCCACAAAGGGCACAGAAGATAAGGTTTGTGGCAGTCCATTGAATGTCAGCCTCACATATTGACTGGGTATTCCCTTCTAGTCTCCTCTTCTTGCTTTCCTTGTACAATTTCGCACATTCATACCCAAACACTGCGAATGCTACTGGGAACTGAAAACGCAAATGCATTCTATAAGACTCGACCTCACCATACACAGATAATATTATATAAATGACTTAAATACGCGACAGGGTATTATAAATGGCAGAATGGCCTTGCTGCTGATATTTATGTACCTGTAGTAAGTTGAGCACCCAGTACAATGGAGAACAAGCCATTAGATCGTTCTGTAAACAGGTTAAAAATAGTTAAGTTTAGGTGCACACCAATAGGCATTTCATCGACAAGTTAATTTTTAGCGTGTTTAAATCTAGTAAATATGTTTTAGAGAAAAAACAAGTATATTCAAATAAGAAGGTAGAGGGTTCACTTGCCTTGAACACTTGAAGAAGCAGAAATATGAACCATACTAGAAAGAGCACCATAATTCTCTTCAAATTAAGGTTGAACTTAAAAATTTCCTGTGAGATATCAAAATTAGACAATTAGAATCAATAAAATAAGCTTAGAAATGGGAGCCAAAAACAGAAAATTCTCCATTTGATGTAGTAAATTAACTTACCAGTGGTGTTTTCTCCTCCCTAGGGACCAGTGGCTCATACATTGTATCAATAACAATAACTGAAAGAAAGCAAGTAAAACTAACAAATATTACCCTAATTTAAACTAGGATCAAATCAGTAGTTACTTTTTCTAAGTAAAAAAAAAAAGACAGAGAAGTGTATTCAGTTCTTGGACGACATACGTTCACCACGTGAATTAACTGGAACTTCTTCCATTGATTTCTGCAAGTTCCATACAAATAACACAGATGAAGAATTAGTTACCATCAACTGTAACTATTTGACTGTTATAAAAAATTTAGTAATACATTCTTAATCTCATTGATATTGTTTAAGTAATTTATATATATGTTAAGTACATTTGAAAGCAAAAGCCCCTTTTAAATCATTGGATTAGTAGAGCTAACCTTGAGAATACTTTCTTCTTTCCACATCTCAATTGCTTTAAAAAATGATCTTGATGAAGTCCCTATTACCAAACAATAAAATACAATTAGTGTAGTTTTAAGCAATGTGTCAGATAAACAAAAACCAATAGATTAATTAACAACACAAATCCAAATTGCATTAGAAAACAAGGATGATAACTTATATATACTGGTTCTGTATTTTAACACGTTGCAGCAGGTATACTGTCTTATTTGCCAAATTACTAATCTACGCCTATGGACGGTTTCATATAATTATCTTTAAGATGATATATGTCAGTATATAAAATTTAAATTTCGCGAAATTTACCCATGAAGAGGATGATGATGAGGACAGTGATGAGCCAATAAGGGAAGACAACACTTAGAGAAACACCAAGTGTGATGCCAAACATGAGCATAGGCTGAAATAATAGAGCCAAATCATAATCAAGTATTGGTACTTCTCTGCATGGATGTGGTACCCTCAAATTGTACCATACTGATGATGCTGATGCCCCCATTATCATACCTGTAAAAAAGCAAATCAACTTTTCAACAGAATGAAAAGTGTACACAAAAGAAAATACAAATAATCCAGATCTACCCCACTTACAACCATATCTTTTCCTGACCTTTTACTCATCCAAGTCACTTGTTTTTATTTTGTAAAGCTTGCACAATTCTCAATTATAATAAAATAAAAAAATAAAAAAAACAAGTATCTCATGTTCACGCAGGATACGGGTAAGGGCTGCATCCCAGGGGGTGTGATGTAGACAGCCTATTAGTGGCTTCTTCCACCGCTCAAACCGTGATCTATAGGTCACAAAGACAACTTTACTATTGCTCCAAGACTCCTCTTCAATAATTCCCGATATTCTATTGAATATTGCTATACATTACCAACACAGATACCGAATAACTCTTTGCTTACGAATTGTAATGCTATTAATCTCTTATATGAAATGCAAAGAGAGAATGCTTACATTTGGAAAGAGCAGCAGCAGATTTTGTATCAAATCCAAGAAGCAAAGTAAGCATAGGAACAAAAATGCCACCTCCACCAACACCTCCTACGGTACCACAAGCTGACCCCAAAAATCCTATTATTGTTGCCACAACAATTCTCCAACTAAATTTCAATTCCTGCAACAAGAAAATTAAGGGAAAAAAACCAAAAACCTTTTAAGGTAAATCAAGACCCTTTTTTGCTCCACATCTGTGGAGGAGAACCTTGGCGTAACTGGTATAGTTGCTGCCATGTGACCATAAGGTCATGGGTTCGAGCCATAAAAATACCCTCTTGCAAAAATATAAGGGAAGGCTACCCTTATGGTCCGACCCTTTTCCGGACCTCGCGCATAGCGGAAGCTCAGCACCGGGCTACCCTTGTTTTATGTATATACCACATGTTTGTAACTATAAACAACAACAATAAAACTCAATGAATTTTCACAGGTGGGTACGCAGACCTTTCTCCGACCCTGGGAGGACAGAGAGTCTGTTTCCGTTAAACCATAGAATAATAAAACCCCAAGAATTTTCACATGTGGAGACCTTATCCCGACCCTAGGAGGGCAGAGAGATTGTTTCCGTTATACCACATGTTTGTAACTGGACATAGAAAAACAAGAAACAGGCATATATATAGAAGATTATAACAAGAAACATGAATTACCGGCCAAACTTTATCTTCAGATCCAATGGGTCGTTGCAAAAGATTGGAACTTTGATAAAATTTTGGTGTAAATTTTCCATCTTGAAAGTTCTGGACAAAGAAAACTGATAGAACCGCCACAGAAAAACCTGCAAACAGATAAATCAAGAACCCTTTTGTAGCCATAGCCAAATGAAAACTAAAATCTTCTCTATTTCTCTGCAAATAACTCTTTCTCTTCTTCTTCTCTTATATTACGTTGTTTCCCTAATGAAAATTTTGAAATATATGGCTAGCCTACCAGCTTGGCGTTACCACATGTGTTTATATAGGATGTTATGTTACAAAAATGAATGAACAATAAAGGAATCTTATTAGGAGTATACCTGGAATTATTTCTGCCAAAAACAGTAGTAATATATTTTCCTTATCTTTTTGGGTGGGTGGTGAATTTTTGTTTTCTTTTTCTTTTTTATTTTAGTCTGGGGTTAGGGGTGGGGGCATTAAGGGGATGGAGGCACATGTATCAACTTAACATTTCTGAAATAGACAAAATTAATACTCTGTCCCTTTTAATTTATGTGAAACTTTTTTGAGTCGGAAGATTAAACTGATTAATTTCTAGTATGAGTTTAGATATAAAAATTCAAATTATAAAAATAAAATTTATATAAATAGACTATATAAATAATAATAGTAATAGTTAATATTTTAAATATTTTTCCAAAAAAATTGTTATGTCGAGAAAGAGCCAAACCCGAAAATAAAGAAGATAAATAACACCAAATTTTAACGTGGAAAACCATTCAAATCGAAGGTAAAAACTACGGGATCACAAAGATCCAAAAAGGCTCTACTATAACAATAAGAGGGTTACAAAAGTTCTCCAAATTAGCTACACAACAAGTGCCAAACACGGAGCAACAATAGTAACAAGAGCAACAACTAATCAATTGAAGAAAGAGTATAATGCACAAAAACGAAGCTGTTGTTCGAGGCTCGAAATCAGATGCTACGAGCCTCCAAATCCGATCTTCACCGTTCAAATCCAAGACCAAGATGTTACAAACACTCAGTCAAAATTTCAGCCCGATCCAACAGTTAACGAATCGGAAAACGTGATTTGAAGTAGGCTGGTCGGAATAAAAATCTGCAGCAAAACAAACTTTTCTTCTCTCTTCTCTCTTGATGAAAGCTCTCTCAAAAATCACTCTTATGTGCTTAAGTCTTTCAAAGACTTGTATCAATGAGCATAGAATAATTCTCCAAAGTTGCCCTATTTATAGATCATGAGTGGTGCTTTCCCTGTAGCCAAAACCAACTCTAAATAGGAACAAAAACCGAATCCAATTTCGAATAGGAACGGAAACCAAAAGAGAATAGGATTAGGCCATTGGGCCTTTGGCTGGACAACATGGGCATGTGCCCAACAAACTCCCCCTCCAGCCAAGGGGCCAAATGTGTCTTCAAGTAGAGGAACTATTGACAGGCTTCATGCCTGCCAATTTTCTGCAAAATTCATGTTTATCTGCAACCACCGCCTTTGTCAGCATATCCGAAGGATTTTCATCAGTGTGTATCATCTCAACCTCAAATAATTTCTCTTCCACGGTCATTCTTATCCAATGATACTTTCTATTTATATGTTTGGCCTCAGACAAAATCACGATTATCGTCAAATATGTTGCGGCTAGAACTGAACCCGCCAAGATGAACATGTCTTGAACCTCGCTCTGATACCACTTCTTGTTCTATGACAGATTCAAACTTTAAATACCATTGCCTTGGAGCTTGTTTCAATCTATACAAGCTCTTTTTCAATTTGCAGACATAATTTTCTTTTCCCTTAATTACAAAACCCTCAGGTTTATAAATCTCCTCATCTAAATCACCATGAAGAAAAGCAGTCTTGACATCCATCTGTTCAACCTCTAAATCTAGACTTGCAGCTAAGCCTAGAACCATACAAATAGAAGACATCTTCACAACAGGGGAGAAAATTTCATCAAAGTCAACTCCTTTCTTCTGGACAAAACCTTTAACAACTAACCTCGCCTTGTATCTAGGCGCAGAGCTATGGTTATCTTGCTTTATTCTGAATATCCATTTGTTAGATAAAGCTCTCTTACCTTTCGGCAATTTCACTAACTCATACGTGCCATTCTCATGGAGTGACTTCATCTCATCTTCCATGGCTTCAATTCACTGATCTTTATGAGTATCTTGCATGGCTTCATCATAATTCTCAGGTTCTCCCATGTCAGTCAAAAGTACATACTCATCAGGAGGATAGCGCATGGATTTTTGTTTCTCCCTTGTAGATCTTCTAAGAGAGGTTTCAGGAGCATTCGAAGTAGTTACCTATGCAGGAATTAGTTGCTGACCAACCACAACTTCATCAACTGGAGCATCCATAACATCTACACCATGATGATCATTTTGATCTTGATCACTATCTCCATCATTGTCTTGGGTTTCTTCATGTGCAATAGGTGCCTTAGCAATTGAAACTGGACTAATATCAACTAAGCTCTCATTACTCTGAGAATCTATCTTCTCAGCTTTGTCAATATCTTCAATAGTTTGATCTTCAAAGAATATTGCATCACGACTTCTAATAAGTTTATTTTCAACTGGATCATAAAAACGATACCCAAATTCATCTTCACCATAACCGATAAAGATGCACTGCTTAGTTTTGACATCCAGTTTCGATCTCTCATCTTTAGGAACATACACACAAGCTTTACACCCAAAAACTCTCAGGTGATCATAAGAAACATCTTTGCCAAACCAAACTCTGTCTGGAACATCACTATCCAAAGCAACAGCAGGAGACAAATTGATAACATAGGCAATAGTGTTAAGTGCTTCCGCCCTAAATGTATTTGGAAGTTTAGCTTCTGAAAGCAAGTATCTAACTCTCTCAACTAGAAATCTATTCATCCTCTCTGCCAAACCATTCAATTGAGGCGTCTTGGGCGGAGTTTTTTGATGACGAATTCCTTGTTCCTTGCAATAGTTATCAAAGGGACCACAATATTCACCACTATTGTCAGTGCGAATACATTTTATTTTCTTCCCCGTCTGTCTCTCAGCTAAGGCCTGAAATTCGTTAAACACGCCAAGTGCTTGACCTTTAGATTTCAAAGGATACACCCAGAGCTTACGAGAATGATCATTAATGAAGGTCACAAAGTAAAGTGCACCACCTTTTGACTTTACTTTAAAAGGACCACACAAATCAGAGTGTACTAGCTCCAATAAATCGGGCTTTCTTGAGGGAGGATGGCTATGAAAGGAAGCCCTTTTCTGTTTGCCAGCTAAACAATGGATACACCTTTTCAGCTTTGCTTGTTTCACTCCACAAAGCAAACTTTCTTAGCCAAACACGTAATCCCCCTCTCGCTCATATGACTCAATCTTCAGTGCCACAATTCTAATAAAGTAACACTTTCCACCAGATTTATTGAGTCATTAAGAATAGCACCATGTGTCACGTATAAATGACCAGACTTGACTCCTCGAGCCACTACTAACGAGCCCTTAGTGAGCTTCCATTGGCCATTAAAGAGGGCATTATGGTAACCTTCATCGTCTAATCTTCCTGCGGACATCAAATTGAAAGAAAAGTCTGGAGCATGCTTGACATCTTGAAGAACTAACGTTGAACCATTATTAGTTTTCAAACAAATTGTGCCAACACCAAACACCTTAACTTCACTGGCATTGCCCATCTTTAACACTCTAGAATCAACAGGAGTATAAGATGAGAAAAAAATCTTTTTTTGGTGTGACATGTGAGGTAGCTCCAGAATCTACTATCCACCTCGTCTCGTGGGATACCAAATTGATGATGTTTTCATCATAGGCAAAAAGAAGGTCATCTCGAACAATATCAGCAACATTGTTCTCGTTATTTTCAGCTTTCTTTCCTTCTCTAATGTCTTGATTCAACTTGCGGCAAAACCTTTTGATATGTCCTTTCTTGCCACAGTGGTTGCATGTAATATTATAGTATTTGGACCTTGACTTACTTCTACTTTTACCTCTATTCCACAAGCCACTTGTTCTATCTCTCCTCCGGTCTTGTGTAACCAAGATATCTGCTTGTGAGGACGAACCCAAAGATTTTCTCCTTACTTCCTTGTTCAATACACCACTCTTGGCATATTCCATGGTCACCTTACCTTCAGGAGCTGAATTTGTCAAAGAAACACGAAGAGTTTCCCAAGAGTCTGAGAGAGTATTAAGAAGCCAAAGTCCTTGTATCTCATTATTAAAATTAACTCCCATTCCAGAAAGCTGATCAAGGACGCCCTGAAAATCATTTATGTGATCAAGGATAGGGCTGCCTTCCTTGTATTTAAAGGTCATCAATTGCTTTAGCAGGAACAACTTGTTGTTCCCAGTTTTTGAAGCATAATGAGCCTCTAGCCTTTTCCACAATGATCTCGCATGTGTCTCGTTCACAATATGGTTGCGAATATTATCTTCAACCCATTGGCGTATATATCCACATACTTGTTGGTGCTCGAAATCCCAATCTTCATCGGATATACTCTCGGGTTTATGAGCTGAAAAAACGGGTAGATGCATCTTCTTCACGACAACAAATCTTTCATCTTGTTTCTCCAAAACATTATAATTTCTCCCATTTAAACATACCATCTTGCTCATATTCGCCTCCATTCCGTAACAACCCGGATAAATAACCAAGGCACTGATACCACTTGTTAGGACCGAAAAATCAGGTGTCATGCGGAAGCTAGCAAAGCAAACCTTGAACGACGATAAATCCAACAACAAAAGAGACACAAACATTTAACGTGGTACGGTCAACTGACCTACGTCCACGGCGGAGATGAGCAATCCACTATAATAAAGGAGAGTACAAGATATCGAGAGAACAACCTTACGAAGAGGCAAACACAAGTGACACACTAACACCTGTCCTGTAAAGTTCTCCCCCTAAACATGACTCTCAAACCCCATGTGGCTATATTGTGGATGCTACTGAATGAGAAGGAATGATCCTCAATTTATAGAACTCCAAACCTTTTCCTACAAGAAAATGGACTAGCCAAATATGGAAGAATTATATTTTTCCTCTAGGAAAAGAAAAACCCAATTATGATAAATATGTTGTCCTTTCCTTCATGAAATAGGAAAACCAATTATGATAAGAAAATCTGAACAAACACCTAACAAAAATATGATAAACCTTTTTGCTTGACTCTTGAAATAATTATAGTTTTTTTTTTTGGAATAAGTTCAGTTTATAATAAACAAATTGGTGAATACATGCTACGTGGCACAGTCCATGTGGATATAACTCACCAGACATGTGATACACGTTATT